AAAAGACAAGATTTGCTACATGAAGATACACAAATGCTACATGTAGTATTTCAATGTTGATTGTTTTGTGTGCAAAACTACATCACGAGAATAAATAAAAAGTGGGCAAATAACCCATGTCGCTGCAGCAGAGCAAGTTAAGTTTGTTGTTATACACACATTTCATAAGCTTCATGACTTCATCACTCGGGGACTCCTGTTTAATTACTAAAAATCCACACAACTTTTTCAAAATTTATTCTCCGACATTGAGGAGTGTTTATTTATGATAATCCAAGAAAACAATGCACCACGCGGGCGCCGCTTGCGGTGTTGAGCATGTTCCCGCAATCGTGCAGCATGGACCAAACGGCTCAGCCGAGGAAATTGCTACTAGACTACAACAGCACACTCCACGTGGTGAGTTGGCCCTGACTGGCCCAAGGCTAGCGCAGCGCAGTCTGCATAATGGACTCTTCACTGCATAATAGTCGTGCGTGTGTGGCAAGTGTGGGGCATTTTCGCTGCACAATGCTTCTTGTTTTCGCATAATTTTTGGAACCTTTCGCACTGCTTTCGCAAAATTTTCACACTGTTTTCCCACACTGTTTTTTCCTCAACGTTTTCGCAAAAGATTGGCACGGTTTTCACACGCCGTTCGCACGTCGTTTCGCATGCGAATTAACAGGGGGAAAAGTTGTGGTCAAAATGCGAAAGTGAATACGAATTCCTTTCCCATTTTTTCCCATTCCTTTTCGCAGCGTTAACTTTCAAATGCAATGTACTGTATATTTACCATAATCATTGCATCCTGTGTTCCATGCTACCTCCTACTCTGAGGCAATGACGAAGTACCAGTAAACAATGAGAAAAAGGAAATAAAAGAGTCCTACCAAAAAAGAGTACTGTGACTGAATTCGAGCAAACAGGAAAGCTGGAACAACTTACTCTTCTTATTCTTTTCCTTGGTGACAATGACCATGGAAAGCCCCGTGGTGGAGGGGTCAGCGTGGCTGGGCAGTCGCTGCACCGTCAGCGACCGGAAAGCGGTCTTCAGTGACGACTTGTCCTTCTTGCCGCCCAGCATGGGCCAGTACTCCACCTGCAGGTCCATCAGCTCGCCGGATACTGGGCTGGCACTGGAAGGGGGCATGGTGGAAAGAGAAAGAGAGATCAGTTGAAGCGTGCCTTTCATTGAACTAGTCAGTCTAGCTCCTTGACTTCACTCTCAACATCACTAGACGGTCACTGGAGTCACACCATAGAGCCGAATGCATAATCCTTTTCTATTCACAAATTTCCCAACTGCCTCCCTCCTTTTTTTTAATGAATGCCCCTTGTCATCCTTTGACTAAGGAAAAAAGAAAAACTGAAAGAAATATGCAATAATGCCATCCTCAGACGACATCAATCTAGGGTTAATAGAAAATGAAGCTTGATAAGGTTGTATTGGTGTGTGGTTAAAACTGTTCATCATGGGTTATGGCCTTCATAAGTGTATCTGATAAAAATGAAAAGAATGCAGAAATGCAGAATTGACAACATCTCAACTGACAAACCAACAGATCAACAAATTAATACACAATAAAAATCATGCTGCAAATTGGGATTAGATAGAACAAGCAGGATTTGTGCATAATACTTCCAATGAAAAGATGCATGCATGCATGCAAAGTCGAAGTTGGACGCTTGCCTTTTCCTCTGTACAGTGTGTGATTCCCATATAACCCCAATGTTTCACTACAGCAATGGCTTCTGGGTTTGCTCGAGAGGAATACTATCCTTTCATTATCCAAGGCACCCCCACTTCTCAGATTCAAATTTCCTGATCAATTTGGCATTCAGTGGAAGAAGAAATCTTGATTTCGTGCCAAGCCAGTACCAACCACATTCAACACGGTAAAGTGATAAAATAATCTTGTTCAAATCTGAGCTGGAATGATACTTTTGTGCAATGCTCTCGCAGCCTTGCCGGTGCACGGCTTCACAAATAATGGAGAAAAGGAAGCTTAGAAGTTTTGGGACCAGCCAGAAAAAAAGTTGTGACCAGAGATAATCAGCTTCGGGAATTTAGTAGACGGTATTGAAATGTAAAGATGGCATAGCCTACATTGTGTTGAAAGGTTCCAACAAATAAAACACGGAAAGAGGATTGCATTCATATTTTCAATGGTCATTTGTGTCAAGCCGACGACACTCTGAAAAAATTACTTGAAAAAAGTCCTGTTGATCATCAAACCTTTTCGCTTTCAATGGTGCTAACTCAGGAAAAGTACACAGATGTATAGTATCACAAATCCTGTCAGTCCACAGAACTAAGAGGGGCGTCATCAGCGCAACATTGAAGTTAGCCAATCATGCTTGACACTACAAAGTGCATATTTATAATGAACACCCACCAAGATTGACCAAGATAAAAAAAAAATCTGCTGGATGAGGATGATTTTGAATTAGTTAAAGGGTTAATGAAAGAAATGGAAGGCTGAAAAAGGCAAAGAAAAAATAACAGCACAGCTGCTGAAACCCCTCAGCCTAAAAGAAAAAAACCGAAATGACCTTGACCATGGAGCTTTGACCCCAAGAAACACCAACATCAAAAACTCTTCGCTAGCAATTTCACGGAACCAAAAAAAAAGCGTTAAGACCAAATAAAATTTGTTTCGCTGTGTAATCAGTTTGAATATTCAAAACAGTGACCAATTCTGCCCAAATCCTCTGCTTGGCACACGATGTCCGCAAAACTACTTCTCTCTCACACAATGTTCAACTTGACCTTTTAACCTTTGAATGCTGGCACCTTTACCTTCAGGGACCAACCCAATACACAACTCCCTTTTCAAAGGCATCCCTCCACTAAACCGACATTGGAAAACGGCCCAAGAATGATGAATGATGGACAGATATGCCCACTGGAATATCCAGACATTATTGGCTGACAGCCAGGAACAAACAAAACCAAAGAAAACAGACTGGTTTTTCCATCCAACCAACCAATATGACTGAGAGGTCAAAAACAGGAAAGGGGGGATGAGGAACTGGCCCAAAGTCTTTTTTACCTTGAATCGGTTACTGTCTCCTCTCTGCAAGATGGCCAACATAATTAGCACAGTCACACGCATGCACCAAAAATAAAACAAAACAAAAATAAATAAGAGACAAAAAGTGGGTATTTCTACAAAACAAAAGTGAAACAACACACTACACATGCTATGGATTCTGAACTAAATGGTGGTTTACAGGGGTGACGCATGGATTAATGCAGGTAAGTGTACATGTAGTCGGTTGGGTTAATGGTGACTTCTACTTGATTTGACCCGCTCTGTGAAAAGTTGATTCCTTGAAGGAAAGAAGCCCAAATTCAACGTGTCCTCCCTGAACTCTTAGGAAACTTGTTTTAAACCATTGCTTTGTATCAAAATTTTGGAAACTGGAAAACCATTTTTGTTTTTGGAGGATGCAGCTGAGCAAAAATTGTACGGAACTGATCCGAGGACTCTATTTGCAAAATCGAATTCAAATCAAATCAATGTCCATTGATTCCACGCAATTCATGTCACACAGCAGATCACAAAGTTGACATATGGGTCTCTAAAAACTAATTCCCTTCGGACTGAGCTGAAACAATAATGTTACACAGGCTGTCTTGTTAAGCGTGTGAATTTAATCACACACTTGCATTCTCTCAAGCTGAACTACATGTAAATTTTCTGGGCATCCTCAGTTTCATGTAACTATTTTCATCTCCTGCAGATGTCACGGCTCAATGTTTTCTGAACCTGTTATTGACGACAACCGGGCTCGACGGTGGGGTGCTGGAGCCGGCCACGTCTCTGTCCCGGTTGCTGGCTCCTCCTGGCGGGCTGGAGGAGAGAAGCCCTCCACTGGTGCCAGGGCTGGTGTCCTCCCCTTCTGCAAGATATGACCGGGGGGAGGGGGGAGTGAGGTTTGAGGGTGGGAAAAACACAAGAGGCTTTCAATAGGCCGCCCAAAAGAGGTTTCACTTCATCCCTGGGCTGGGCTCATTTCCTGGACTACAGTTGACAATATTTCCTTGGTGACACATTAAGTGTGTTTTACACAGGCAGAAATTCTACACACTACATAATGTATTTTACAGCAGATTTTTGCACATTGGTGCCTGGAAATAATTAGGTGCTGTTTAACACAGCGGCCTCAAACTAGTGAGAACTACAATTGAGGATTTTTCCATTGAAAGGTAGGCCACACTTTGCAAGACATATTTATGTCATGGTTAAGGATGTTCGATGTATTATGTCAACATAAAAACTTAAACCGTAGCCTCATGTGATCGGGTAATGGATATGGTTCAATAATCATTATTTCAGACTCAATGAAATGACACCTGAAGTCTGTTCATAATGGCTCACCTGACAATGAGAAGCTTACTCCATCAGCTGGCCCAATCCTGACATTCTGAATGGCAAGCAAATATATAGCATTCCATGAAACCAGTGTACAGCCTGGTACCAAGAACTGTTCATGTACCATTTCAGTAACTACCACAGGCAGGTACAAGCCAGAAGTGACTTGCCCTTGTTATAATGTTGAGTAGAGTTAGTGACCTAAAAGTCTAGGAATATAGATTTGTACTTTAGAACAACTTAAAAACTCAGCACACTGTTAGCGGTATGTCAACATCTTTGAAACAAGACATGTTCATGGAAGAAATTTACTTTTACTTCCATATAGCAGAATGTTAACACAATGAAACTAGTTTATAAAATAAACACATACACGTAGTATTGAAATAAGGTGACCTTATGACTTGACAGACTGACAACTACAAATTAGGAATGAGGGACAATGACATACAAGCGAAAGTATCATTGAGATATACTGTTGTACATGTATATAAATGAGATTATGAATATTAAGAAGTTGTGTCATAGGTCATATGTCATAGGTTATACAGACAACACAGTCCTAGCCTGTGAGCACTATGATCTGACTAGGGAGCTAAACTCACGTTGATGAACGGGATGAATTTCTGGATGGATTCCTCGTCCGTGCTGCGCAGCTTACACGTCACCATGACCTCCCCCACAGGCAGCTGCAGACGGTGCTGGCTGCCGGCTAAATACTGGCTGACCCGGTTCACCATCTCCTTGGCATCTGTAGAGACAGGGTCCAGACCAGTCCACCAAGGGAACCGGTGGTCAGTATTTCTGTGTTCCATAATTTGGTGGGGCACAGTGTACAGTACATGTACCGGTATATTTTAGGACAGTTTCCATTACTTCGTACACTGTTCCAAGACTAAGAGTTCATGGAAAAGCGTGGAGTCCTAAATATGGCTTTTCTCTTCCCGTCAGCAGACATAAATAACATTGTTTTGTTTTACGTGCATTACTGCACAGTATTCAATACGGAACGGAACAGTACAGCCGAATTTCATTTCACCTAAATCAATGAATGCATTTGCTACACTGGCTGTGATGCCGCTTTAAAGAGGTCACCAGCTTGTTGCTATAGCAATCAGCCATGTTTTAATGTATGGTATGCTGAATGCTGTTATATTTCAGTGTACACACAACCTGCCACATTTCGCCCTTGTGAGTTTGAATGGTGAAATTTTAACATGACATGATATATCATTTGTACAGTGCAATTTTGTTCTTGACTCTGGTAGCAGTAATATGCCAGTATGACAGTGAATGGCTAAGCCTATCTCGCGATGCGCTGCTGTTGGCATGTTCAGTACGTGCATTCAATGAAAAATTAACAATAACACAGTGATATCTGTTTGCTTTGTTTGGTCTGATCATGAGTGATGTGACTGGAGAGCTTTTCAAATGCCAGTGCAATACGAGTACATGAAAGTGCAAAGCTTCAGAGGAATCAAGCACAATCCAATCACACTCTTGATGCGTGATCGCGCCCTTGCCTGATACAAGTCTGACAGATGGGTACATGTGCATGTGCATTAATGCAGAGAACAGAAAAGTGGTGCAGGTTACTCACTACACATACCTTGTGGTATAACAGAGCAAAGGTGAGATTCAAATACATTGTAACCTGCACAGCAATTATCACTTGCTCAAGATACAGCAATAAAGGTAGCATTATACTGGTACATGTCCTTGAGTAGAGCACAGGTACCTTTGGTTGACTATGTATCCATGTACATGCATCTACATATATGTATTCCACTGCCTCTTTGATACATGGTTCTTATTAAGATGAATCCTTGTTAATATGGTACAAGTCTGAATCCTATTATCACACTGCAGCAGTCTTGATGAATGGATGTGGCAAATCTGGGGGGTGGGGAGAAAACCTTTGTATCAACTGAGAGCGAAGCCAGAAATACACAATGTACGTGGGATTCTGCAATGCCTGTTAGGGCAGTGCCAAATATCCGATAACCGAATATTTGATCGATTATCAAATATTCGAATATTATTTTTCAAATTTGAATATTCAAATGTAAAATTCATGAAAGGAAGGGAAAATTTTCTTCTGTTTTAAATGAGAAAAAGTGCACTGTGGAGACTTGTTTCAAGCAGATTCAAATGAAAAGTGACAGAAATCTTACGATTGAAAAAGTAAATTATCAATTAAACAATTTAAAAGGAATAGAAATTTTCAACAGGCATGAAGTATTGTCCACCTCTTAAATCTTGCTAAATCGTGGCTGGAGATACTCGTAGATGTGAGAAGCTATTATATTAATTATAATGTAAAATGGTGTAGGTTATTGTAACTGATTTTGTATATGGTCTGTTCATCAACAATCTGCCAGTGGGTACGACCGAATATTCGGATATTCAATCAAATCGAAGGTCAAATATTCGCATAGTGAGTTATTCAAATTGACTCAGCCCTAGTGCCTGTAAATACGCCACCTGTGCAGAACCCACAGGCCTTCCCATTGGCCTTGGCTGGGCAATTGATACAAGTGCAAAGTACATGTACACACACACCACAAGGGAGAGTCTGTACAAAACGCAAAGGGAGTTGGCACCATGCTGCCGCTCGCACGACCTGAAATAAAACACCCAAGGGAAGGGGTCTGCTGCTCGCAGGGGAAGAGCTAGCTGGGAGTGCAGGACTCGGGGGACACTGTAGGCACAGGCGAGGGGGAAAACTGAGAAAGGGTCTCAATAACTGAGCGGTGGCCACTTGCTACAAGAGACTCGCCGCAATCTGGACATGGAATTGGAGGCCAAATACACATCGGTGGTCAGACTACACAGTGATTTGTGTGATGTGCTGTTTGAGGAAAGTGCACAACTTAAAAGACTGATTACTGCACAGAGACCACATTCTGGGCATGTTAAAACCAAAGGAGCACCCCTTGATACAAACACAACAAAGAAATCCAGTCTCTGTTTTTTTTTCTTCCGTGGTATGGGAGTAGCAGGGTTTTTGGGGGAAGGAGGGTTTGTACATGTAACTCAGTGGTTCTGCCAAGAAAATAATAACAATCCGCAAAAAACACCGATGCATCGCTGGAACACAAGGCAGGAGGGCAGGGCACACTTACAGGCCGCATTTCTTGTCCTGCGAGGTTTCATGTGTGGTTGGTTATCTGAAATTTGGTGCAAAAATCTGGTCAGCTGGGAGCCATTACACAAGAGAACCAATGAGTAAAAAAGATTTGCTCTGCAATAAACAAAGCATGTAAATTCCTGCTGCCAAAGCATACAGGAATAAAACTGAACACTATACTAATCCAAAACTTCTCTGCAGAATGATAAATGTGGGGCTATAACAACAAAATACATGTAAACCACTATCTCAATAAACTGTTGTCAGCTCTTAAGAGACAGAATGGCACTTTGACAATCTGACAAGCTACAGGCTACAAACTCTCCGAACAAGCACAGTCTCACGAGAGACAGAGACCAAATTTGGGCCTACACTCGGAGGCCATTACCTCCCCCCACGTTACTCAAGCCTCCAATGCCTCTGCCATCATTAGAAAATACCATGAACTACAAAGAGTGTGTGACATCGTTGCTTGGTAACAAATGCCTCCTCTCGTTCTCACAGAAATCGTCATGGAAACGCAACATTAAAAAAGAAATCATTTAAAATTCATGGTTTCTTACCTGGGTAATCCCGATCAAAAAATTCCTTCCAGTTAGAGTCAAGAAACAGTGAAGAGTACCTGGAGTCTAATGAGCCCAGATACTTGGCAAGAGAACAGCTACCAGTACCTACAAACATCCAATCACAAAAGTATTCTTTTAAGCACAAACTTAACATGTACCAATAACTGTGGTGGAACTGAGCAGCTCTCTTTTCTATATTGGCTGGTAAAGGGTTTTGCATGGCGAAACTACATGTATCAAATCAAAACAAACAAATTAAAAATTCCAGTTAAGAACAAGTTCCTACGGGGTTCCCACTGAAATCTGACACCCAACTTCCATGACATTTTCAGGACTTTCCAGGACAAGATTTAAGTTCAATTTCCATGACACATAATGCCACTTGGCAGCGAAAAGTTGTTTTGTATTACGAACAGAAAGACTGCCACAGCCACCACTGTCATCTTACAAGGATATAGCCTGTAAATTTATCATTATTCCTCATCACATCAACGTCGGCTAAACAAAATAGCCAGTGCACTATCTTGATTTCCATAAGTTTTCCATGACTGTTCTTCCTCAGACATCAGGATTCAAGGACACCCTATTTTTCCCCAATTTCCATGACTTTTCAAGACACTCTTTTTCATGACCATAGGAAATTTGTCTTAGCAATCTCAAACCAATGGCATTATTTAGGCAGCTTTCACTGCTAAGCATTGTATGTTGCACTCAGCATATTCCTCCGCATGCCAGCTGTTTTGTAAACTAGCACTGATCCATGAAGTTTTGGGTTTCTCCCCACTGGGGAATGTTTCCCATGGTGAGAGGGACATTGATAGCATTTGGAACTCAGATCAACAAGAAACAACAGATCATAGGGCTATATTAAATTAGTAGAGCATTAACTTCTCATCCCGTGCGCGGAGAAAATCTGACGCCGGCCTGGGCACAGACATTTTGAATCCATGTGCATGCTTGTGGAAAATTCGAAATCGGATAGAATGATTATCAAATTAAGCACTCTGAATGCATAACACATTGGATATTGATAAAATCAGATTAAAAATTGTCATGGCAAAATTATCTACAGTGCATACGCGCACGCGTTTGCGTTGTTTATGCAGAGCAAATGAAACGCTTATTTACTGATTGTGCTTTGGGTTTTTTGCATATCGGCTTTGTCGACACATGGTTTTGGAATACAGATGCAGATATGCAAATAGCCGTACAAAAGCTGTGCAAAATTTCGAGTTTTCCATAGCTCTGTGCACCAACACGGATGCGCAGAGCAGGCATCCTTTGTACATGAGTCAGCACTCTAGTTTTTACATATCTCTACAGTATGTAACAAACCCACACATCTGCAAGTTGTTTTAAAGCATGCAATTTTCATGGAGTTTCTCTCTGAACTACAGCAGTGTTCAGGTTCCTGCCCGTATGTGGACTCACCTAAGGGCACAACGTAAAAGCTGACATAGTTCTGCCAATCTGCTGTCTTGGCCGAGAAGAGCTCCACATAAGGTCTGAGTACAGCCCCAACATAGCTCTCGTTACCGCACAGGGCTACCTTCAGCGGCTCAGGAATTTTAGGGTTCTGGTTACAACTGTCACAAGGAAGATTCACATACACACAAGTCAGATTATGAACACATCTATACAGTGGTTATTACATGTCAACTCTTGTCACTGTTTCATTTTCAAGAAAATTACAATGCCAAACAGTTCCATTTTCACCACTGCACGATTGGATAAAGCCATTTTCTCTTTGTTTACACTCATGGTGGCTGAAATATTTAAGTTCAAGCTACCACATCATTTGTGAATGGCTTCTGGCCAGCAGGTGCTCTAAAATATTTGAAATGGGGACTTGCTGAACTCAGACGGTGCTTCAGTAGTTCAGCTCATCTTACGCAAGTTGCTATTTAGTCTGTGCATGACCTCTAAACAGCCACCTTCCATGTTATCACTCAAGTGCAGTCCCATACTTGTTCAGTGTGAATAAACATGCCTTCTGACGACAAAAGTTCTCTACTTACTACTTTTGGAGCTTGTTAACAATAAACTGTAGAGTTGCTTCCACATCACTATGGTTACATGTACACACCACTTTCTCGCCAGCATTAGTTAAGGTCTTAGCCAGTACCTGAACAGTGGCAAGTAGTAAAAGAGAAATGGACAGAGTAAAGCATGAACTAGATATCAACACACAATTTGAAATCATCGCTTCAGGGAAAATGAAAACTTCTGTGTAAGAGATGTGGATGTACTTTACAAAATGTTGTGTACAACAACAGCCAGCAGGTACTACAACTATTTGAAAGATAAAACCAGAATACAGTCTGTAACTGTGACCTCCTAAAGCAACGACCCTCTTACTTGGTAAGCATGCACATTTGGTAACACCACACCATTAATAAACCAGAACACCACTATTTCAATGACAGGAAGAAATATCGCATGGAATTGTTGGCTCATGTAAAGATAATTATTCTGCATAATAATTAATTGTCACCCCCCTGGCCATTTTTGTCAAGAACCTTCTCCAATCTTCAAAGAAACCTCTAGAACTGCCTTGAGCAGAAGCACCCCCTTGTTAGTTGAAAAAGAGCCATGTTGATCAGGGGTGTTTATTTTTGTTGGTAGCGATGCGAATGCAACACATGCATTTCATAGTCATTTGTGAACCAGTGAAGTGCAGATCCTACAAAAGGAGCCGCCATTGCTAGGAAAATTGCACCCCCTGTTGGTCTCCCTCAGGACTCCTTATGCATATTCTTTCAAGTAAGACGTTAACTTTCAAAGGGCAACAAGTCCCATGTAAAGTAATTTAGTGGCTGAGCTCCAATATCGTCCAAAATTTCCAGGTGGACTTTGAAAGGTCTAGGAGGTACGGGTTTGAACAAACAAGTCTGGATCCCCACCCTGCCGTGCTTCTCAAGCACACTGACGAGTATCACCCTGTCGGGGATCTGGCTGTCAGTCAAGCCTTGCCAGAGACTGGTGAGCTGTTCAGCCAATGGAGTGACACCAGGGTGCTGAGAGAAAGTTGAAAAAAAAAAGACATCATTCAAAGGGCTTTGAAAAGAAGATTGATGTTATTGGGATGGTCTTGTAGAAAAGTGGAACTGTTTCAGTATCTTCTTGTCAATTACTTCCTTTTTTTCCAATCTGTAAAGATGTTGGTGCATCAACCTGTCTTTTCGTGACTTTTTGAAGTGTTTTCTGTAACAGAACTGCCATCATCACAAATTTTACTAGCCTTGTGCTCAGACGATTAACTAGCTGCTGGGCTTGTGTAATGTACATTTTATTGGCTTGAATGAATTTCAAAAGTCTGTGAGCACATTTCAAACTGTTTCCACATATTTATCAGGAAGCACATGTACCCTTTTACACATGGAACAGACTTTTCACAACTAGCCCGCTGGGCAGTATTTGCAGGACATTTAACCTGCCTGTAGCAGTAAATAACCTGCATGTTTCCCAGATGGGTAAACGAACATACAGGTGGTAATATTTTGCTTCATCAACCACCCATTCCAGGAATGATCCATAATTTTCATCACTTTCACTGAAATTTTAGCCCGCCTCTTGTCTGACATTACCGAGAAGTAAAGTATCGCATCACTTCAAAATGTTAGGAATATTAGAAGTCGTTGACATTTCACATGATCTTTGTGCGTAAGCAACAGCTGTCAGCCAGGCATTTTCTCATTTAGACTCTGATGAAGCTGAACAGTTACGAAAGCCTCTTTCCTTGAAAGAAAGCAATTGAGTCATCAGTGCTTTGCTGATGCAGTTATGCATCAGCAAATCTGACCCTGACCTTTAATAATCCCAAACGCACAACACGGTGATCTGTACCTTATGATCAGCCTTGCCAAAGCTGCTGGCCTTCTCCACTGACTTGGAGTGCTGCCTCGGCCCTTCAGTCGGTGAACCCTGCGATCCCTGCGATCCTTCCTTGCTCAGTGTCTTGGGCACCGAGTGGCTGTGAAGACGCTTCTCCTTCTGGCCAGCGCCGTTGGTGGCAGAGGGCAGCATGGCCTTCTCGCTGCCGGGCGAGGGTGTCGTCTTCATCATGATGGGCATGTCCCCTGGGTCGCTCTGGTGGGAGAGGGTGCTTTCGCTCCGGTTGACGAGAGAGGGCAGCATTTCTGACATTGGGGTTGTTTCGTCATCTCCAGGAAACTCCTATTAAAACATCACATACCGGGTACATGTGGATCTGTGACTGTTCAGCTCCAACCAGACAACCCCAGGTCTCAATTTTATGGGACTGCTACTAGTACTCATAAGCAGAGAACAGTATTAAGGAAAAAATGTGCCATGCAAAAATCACAAGAAACAGTCACACCAAATACATATATGCAATTCATAGCACTACGGCTGGTCAATAACTTTTGCTAAGCATATCTTCTTTGCTTATGCAATCTGCTGTGTGTATGGGTAGCAGTGTATCTGTGTATGTATGGGTAGCAGTTCTATAACACCGACTCCTGTTGTAAAAGTGTTCAACATTTAACCATGCTCCCCAAACTGGAATCCACTAAAAAAACAAGAAATGAAAGGATCATCTGTTTCAAGTGACCAGGATTCAGATGTACATGTACTACAGGGCAGGGAGAGCATTATTATCATTTTCTTTTCAGCTTTTTGTGATTTTTCATTTTGCTTTTCCAATTTTGTTATTCCTTAAATTCAAGTGGCGTTTTCTCTGAAGAAAACCCTAAACAAGTACCGGTGTAAGATGAAAAGTCACATACAGATACATAAACAGATGTCTGTGGGGAGGCATTCAAGTAAATTTCAAGTTTATGTAGAATCATCCACTCTAATGTCTATTCAAGGACAATCCTCGTGAGAGGAAATGAAAGGGTCAAGAACCTTTGGCCTACCGTATGAATCCCAGAAACACTAGATACAAAGCTTCAACAAAATTTCAACTGGATTCAAAAAACCTTTTGGGGGAAAAAACAAATTACCAATGCACTTTCCCTCAGCATTTTTGGTACACATCTTGGCATTAAATTTCCAAAATCAACAAGAAATTATAATATGACTCATAACATCTAAGTGGTGACTTCCACTTTGCGTAGGAAGAGCAGATGGTGAGGTCTACCACAGGGCTTTGAAAATGACAGATTGAAAATGCCCGGAATGCAATGTAGTCGGTACAGGTATTTCTGAATCCCTCGTGAGGAAATGTGTGTACTGCTGGGATGAATATGTTTAGCTATTAAAAACAGTTTTTAATTCATCATAACAGCACATGTACATATCTGGTGGTTTCAAATACATTTGTTTAACACCAAGAATATGGCACATCCTGTACATACAGGTACATGTGCATTTGTACATGTGCAAGTTTTACAAATGCACATGTGCAAGTTTTAATAAACTTGAAGTACACATACCAACATTGACTTGCAACTCTGACCACGACAAGATTCTATGTGATTTACCAGAAATCTTGAAGGTTAGAGAGCTACTACCAGTACCCAGTAGCATCCAACATTACCGTTTCATACACTGAGGAAGGTGAGGAATCTTCTTCCTCAAAAGATATGTACATGTACATTTATATGAAAATTATTTTTTATAAATTTAATCCATGAAAAGTTAATGTGAATAAGTACATGTAGATACATGTACCAAGAGCGTGAGAAAAAGCACTAATAAATCAAATATTTTGATGCACATGTACCAGTATGTATGGAATGTTCAATAATGCATAAAAACATTTCAGTAATTTAAGTACAGTGTACATGTACATTCTACATGTTACCCTGGACCTGCTGCACATGCACATGTACATGTATGTACGGCATAAAAACACCACACTGCAAGAGGACAGCTGAAGATAGCTCTTATAAAAAGTGGTGTCACCTTTACGTCTTGTAAAATCTTTCCACCCAAGAGTGCATGTAAATGTTTCAAGCCAAGTTACATGTACATGTGACAGATTGCTCTGCACATATTGTACACTAACTACTTGCATTCTGTTTAGGTATATCCAAATCTGCCTCCAAGGTAAATGGTGGAGTTGCCTACCTAGTGTGAACATTCCTTGGTTTTTGAGTAGCTTAGAAAGAACAGTGAGAATAGTCATTTTCCTTGAACTGTGAACAATCTTCTGAGCTAAGATTTTTGATAATGATTTCCTGGACTGCATGTTCCTCTTTACTTTGCAACTGATAACGCTGACCCCAAAATATCTCTAAACCTTTTCTCCAGGGGAGGGGCAGTTCACCTTGTGTGGACCGATCTTAGTCCACACAAGGTCCACACAAGCTGCATTATGTGGACCTCTTTTTATCAAAGGTCCACACTAGGTACAGGTACATGTATGTAAAGTTTCTACATGTACAGTACACACACTGATGGAGCTTTTTCCCATAAAACGTGAGTCGGGGGAGAAAAAAGCCCACAATGCTGAAACAGGTGGGGAACTATAAAATGGCCACATCCACATCAGAACCTCATGGTCTGCAAAGCTTAGCCCCAAGGCAAGCCCGCGGGAACGGGGGGTGCTTGGGGTACTGCAGCACCCCCAACTTTTTGGATGGGGGTGCTGGAATATGCTGCAGCACTCCCCCCCCCCCCTCCCCATACTTTTAGCAGGATAAAATGCACATCCTGTAATAGAATCATCCCGAAGCTTTACCTAGCACTGTAGCGTTACCTCATCTCAACGGAAAAAATGGGGAAAAATGCAAGTTTTTTCCCGTCAATCATGTCGGCACTAGATTGCGAGCAAATCATGTGGAGGTACATGTACACAACCTAGGCATAGTCTGATGGAACGAGGTTGCTGTTCCATTTCACAAAATCTTGTGAAGGAAGTACAGATACATGTAGTATAATGGGTAATTTATCATGCCTACAGCTGTGGCGCATAGCGCGCCACGTATGTGTGACTCAGTAAACACATGTAGCCCATTTGCACTGATCCAATCAGAGCTCAAATCCATGAGGTTTTCCCAGTGCCCTGTATACCCTGGTTACAAGCAAAAGAGCTGCACATACATGTACGTATCAACCTCGTGTGATATTATTCCTACGGTCACTCACAACAAAGCGGTAAATCGTGCATTCACGGGAAAGAGGATGCTAAATCTCTACACGCGTGTGTGTGTATATTGAAGAAAATGTGTAAAGTGCACTGTTCGAGTTCATCCGTACATTCGGTTGACATTTTACAGAATTGAGCATCAAGGTAAGCCCTAAGTTTACAATTTTTTCTCCTTTCGTGTGTGTATTGTCAAATTGTCGTGATTGCGATTATGGTAGGCCTAGTATTTGTAAAGATAAAAGCCTAGTTTATCTTGATAAGTTGATGTTCTTTCCCATTGGTTTTGGGGCGATTGTGTACAGGCAGATGACGGGCCCCATTCCCTGAAAAAGAACAAAATCCACTTTGAATTGTACTTACAAACTAGCTGGCGACATTAAAAACCAGCAGGTATGTGATAGAAACAGCGCACATTTTTTTGTGTTGTGGGAGGCCCCCTATAATGATGCATCAACAAAAACAGATCGATTTTGGGGGGGGGGCACACTGCACCACATGCACACTGTGCTCCCCGCCCTAGCTAGGTAGGCACATGCAGTCAAGAATAAGACGTGCACATGTAGTAGGCACACCGGTACCCTGCAGGCAGGTGCCCTGCATGCCGGCGCTACAGATCAAAGTCGAGGTTTCTCGACCATGTGTCGACAGTCGAGTTGTCTCGACTTGGGTCCGAGTTGACCTGGGTCCGAGTTAACTCAAAACCTGAATAATCGTGATGCTATGCAGCATGAACTAACATTAACACTTGGTTAAGCATGGTTGATTCGCATCAGCATGTGGTCTAAAAGAGCATCATAGGACCCCAGAGCTTCCGGGGCCCTTGAGCAGGCCCCGGACCCCCCGCCGAAACGGCTTCGCGCTACGCACTCGCACATTCTATCAAATCTCAGCAACCCCTGCAAAAAACTTGTTCCAGCAGGCCTGCCCCGAGGTCACCCAAAGAAATGTGATCATAGAGAATGCTAACATTAAATGCTCTTCTGACTCACCCCTGAACTGCCAGAGTCTTTGCTGTTGCCGTTGTCCTCGTAGCATTGGTCGATCAGTGGGAACTGCTCCATTTCCTCTGCCATGGAGCTGGAGGTAGGAATGCCCTGGGAAAAGAACGGCCTGTTTGGAAGAGGGGAAATACAGTGTACCAGAAAATATCAATTGATTACATTTACAAAACTTTAAAAAGATCATAAAGCTGGATACCAGAATACCCAGAAAAGAATAACCTGAGCATGGGTGTGAAATGCCAGAAATTATCAATAGATGCATGAATTTAAAATATATATATAAAGTACAGGTATGTAAGATTTGAAACTTTGCATGGTGGAAGTAGTACATATGATAAGGATTTGTGTGTACACCATGGGATCTATCTCTTCAAGAAGAGATGGGAAATCTATCTTTTCAAGAAGAGATGGGGGAATCTATCTTTTCAAGAAGAGATGGGGGATCTATCTCTTCAAGAAGA